AAAAAAAAAAAAAAAAAAAAAAAAAAAAAAAAAAACCTCCAAAAAATTTTGGATAACAATATCCCAAAGTTTCAGAACTACAAAATGCCATTAATTATCTTTAACACTGCTGTGTCTGAAAGAATACAATCAACAATTTACAGGTAAATTTTCAAATGCACACACACACAAAAAGATTTCCCCCCAGCGGCCAAGAGAATATGGATAGAATATTATTTGGGAATATATGAAATTTAAAGCATTATTATGGACCAAAGTTAATGTAGAAAACAGATATAGATGTATCTTTACTCATATTTATAAAGTTATTTGTCACCTGATTATATTCTACTCTGAAAACTGGCTTATCATGAGTTTACCTAAAACATCAGGTTCTAGCTGCCTATAATTAGCCAATGAGGGAATTCAAGTTTTAAACTATCACATAGATAGTCAATTTATTATCAAGAGTAGGAAACATTGTAAATATGTTATAAATAAAGACCCATGTTTCCATTGTAATACAGCCTCTTCTTCCTCTTCTAAGGGATAAAAATCTCCATTTACGGAGTTATAAACTGATATTAGATGAGAAATTGCCTGGCAAGAAAGCAGCATCTTCAAAACGGTAACTATAAAGGGAAGCGGGAAGGGTGAAGAGGAAAGGAAATTTCAGTTTCACTTCTAATCTTAGAAACTCGAAAATGAAAAGTGTTCCTGGGTTATCATCAATACCAACTATCTCCTATCTGTAACACTGAAGTCTGTGAACTAGTTAACAAGGGGAGAAAAACTTCAGATATACTGTACTAGAAACATGTGGGGAAGTTTTATTGCTACACATTGCCCTGGAATCTCTCTCTTCAGGCCAAAAAAAGAAGGAGCACTTTGATCTAAAATACAATGGTCAGGCTGGTAGTGCTGGCCTGCGATCCCAGCTATTTAGAAGGCTGAGGCAGAATGGTAAGTTTGAGGCACACCTGACCAACTCAACAAGAGCTAGTCACAAAATAAATAAATAAATAAAAAGGGATACAGCTCAGTGGTAGAGTGATTGCCTAGCATGCAAGTTCAATCTCCATCGTGGAGGACGGACACATAGACACACATGCGCACACATACACATGCACGCACACACACACACTAAAAGGTTTAAAACCAGAAGTGTGGTTGAGATCACACTTGAGCATTTTAAACAGAACTGAATGAAAAGTAAACAGTGAACTGAAAGGTACTTACTTTTCCCTAACTTGCCACTTTGTGAAAGGGACAATAGACAGGTGCAGAGAGAAGACACCCATCTGGCTATGAGGAGAGGAAGGCTGATCACCCTGTGAGGAACAGTCAGACAAGAGGTCTCCATGGGACACTGCCCTCCCCACTGAAGGCAAACTCCACTAACTTTAATAAGAGGCATTTACCTACTGATGCTTCCACTAGATGCTAAGCTTTCTTTTCTAGAACATTTGAAAAGTTGAATGTCAGTCCTAGTATTTTTCAGAGTGATAAAATGTCTACATTTAAAAATAATAATAAAATTTTTAAAACCTAAGGTACAATCTCCTGGCAATAAAGTTTTCCCTCTGCTTTCCCCATTATGCCTGGTAGAACTGATGCTAATATGCTTAAAAAGTCTGTGTTGACTCTTAGTTGTAATTCCAGGAAAAAAAAAAACAACTCCAGAGACATTTCTAGATTTCTGTTTCTTCAGTATCCCATGACATTATTTTATTCATATGCTTTTCCACAGGTTGTGAATCATTTCATGGATTCAATCACTGATTTAAACTGGGCAGTGGGCAAATAAGAAAAATTTCATGATTCGCTGAACATTTCCTGTCTTAGGACCTACCTGTTAGGCTGATGGCTATGTGAATCATTTTAAGGGCTTAAATTTCTTCTATTACACAAAGCATCTCATAAGTAGGTAATGTGACATAAATTTCATTATCCTTTATCCTTATTATAACTTTTAAAGTACATTTAGTTTAACAGAAACCTCAACAGTTTGAGGAAATTGAATGTAATTCTATTGTTTCACAACCAAAGTGAATTCTGGAGTTCGACTGTGATGGAGCTACACCAAGATTTTACTAATATTTTTCGTGAGGTAAATGTCTTAAACATACTCCAACAAAAGAGTCCTAAACTGTTTACAAACATATTCGCCAAATAAACATGGGAAAGTTTTAAACACACACACAACCTTAATTTAATCTGGCTCTCTAGCGGTATGGATAAAAAAAAAAAAATGACTGAGGTCACTGACCTACCCTTGACCCCAAAGTCGTCAAGTACAGCAATGGGACTAGAGTTTGGCTTTTCTTCCCCCAGCAACAAAGCTCACTTGGTTCTTTCTTTCCACTTGATGTTTTGTTCCCTCATCTCTTCTTCAAAAACCGAAGAGATAGCACACCTAAGGCAAAAGAAGAAGCTCTCTGAATTTTATCTTTAAAATAAATTTGAAGAGTTGGAAGAACTTGAGATCCTGCGCCAGATTTGGAATCTAGGAATTTCAATCGAGGAATGACACATACTAAGAAGTATGTCATCAAATGCAAGTGCTATTATGTTATTATTTTTACAGGGTAGGTAATTTTTTTAGCTTGCACATGCTAGCAGAGTAGGCAGAGAACCCATTTGATAGATCTTTTTTTAACTTGCACTTAATTATTCTTATTCGCCTTCATTTTGGATGGTAACTTTACCCCACGATTTATGTACCTGCCCACAGTGACCTTGATTTTTTTTTCATGTTGTAGTTTTATGGACTGCTTCACTGCAATATTTTCTGGAAATAATAATCGGTCAGGTCCTCGGAGCCCTGGAGACACGGACATCCGCCACTGACTCACAGGAGATCTTAAAACCTGGCCCAAATGAAGCTGAAGAAAGACCGCAAGGTAAACGCTCTCGGGCTGAAGCCCCACAGCCCGTCACCAAGGCAACCGTCCCCAAGGCATCAGCGGGAGCCAGGCTGACAGGGCCCAGGGAGCTCACCTCGGCCGCCCGGGGACCGAGGCTGCGGCCCGGGCTGCGAAAGGGCCTCGGGCGCGG